TTTTTTCATCTTTAGGGCATTTACTGGTTAGCCATGCAGTGGAGTACTTCGATGCATGCCTTGGAGCATTGTCCTGCATAAATATCATGGTCTTCCTGAAAGATGCAGACTATTTTCTGTACCTATTTTCTAAAAACTGGCAGTAGGTTTGGGAGTTGATTTTGAGTCCATCTTCATAATTCCAGCCCACACCAGTACCCTACCTCCACCTTGCTGGTGTCTGAGTCAAAGTGGAGCTCTTTGCCCGTTACTGATCCAGCCATGGGCCCATCCACCTGGTCCGTCAAGAGTCACTCTCATCTCATCAGTCCATTAAACCTTTGAAAAATATGTCTTCAGATATTTTCTGGCCCTTGATGTTTCAACTTATGTGTCTTGTTCAGTGTTGGTCGGGTTTCAGCCTCCCTTAATTTGAGCATTGGTCACATCGGGTGCGATTTGGCCTACGATTTGGCCTGCCAGGTGACTTGCAAATCGTATGCCAAGTCACCAATTTCTAAAGTAATACATGCACTACTTTTGTTGCGATTTGCATAGACATCTGTGTCAGATGTCTTGCAAATCGCAATTAAATCTGCAGGTCACCCAATTTTGAAATCATGCGACTTCACTGTCCTTACTCCAGATGGCCATGGCCAGAAATGATAGGGGGTGTTTTTCAAAGTGATTTCTCAGCAAAGTAAAGCATGGAGACATGAATGGATGGGTGAATTTGCTTTGAATAATAAAAATGAATTAAATAGCATTTTTGCTTTGTGGCGCTCAGATGCGGTTTAGTTCTGCTTTAAGCTCCTTTACACTTGTTTACCAGGCTACCTTTATGCTGAACTCCATTTAAAGGTTAAATACACTATTAAAAGGGTTATATGGGAGCTGTTTAACTTAATCCCACTGAGATTTACAATGACACCACCCTATAATTAAATAGTGAAAGAGCAACAAAATACTGATTGTTATTTCTCTGCTCTGTCCTCCTGTCAGCATGTGTTTTTGTAAGCACATACAAATGCAGCATACTACATTGCTCCGAGTGTCACCCCTTCTTCTTCAAGTCTGAGTACTGCTGTACGGGGTTACAAATCCAGGTATCTACTCCAAATTAAAAAAAAAACATCTTATTTACAGAGCTGAATATTATACACATAGTTGAATGCATCAGAGGACTGCCTCACCCCTGCTTGAAGCTGAACTCCAGACAGCTGTAAGAGACACAAGTTAATGAAAACCTGTAAACATTAATACATCCTTTTAAATGTTTTTTTTTTTTTTTTTTAATGCAAGCATTGTAAGTACCTGAGTTAGCCCTTTGCTGCTCACGTATGGCAGAACTCAAACAGGGGGAGGGAGAAGCAGCACAAGGAGCCAATCAGGTGTATTAAAGTCCAAGGAGCATGCTGATAGGAGGAGAGAGCAGAGTGACATAATATCTTATCAGTGCGCTGCTTCTCCTTTAACTGTCCACTCACAAGGTGGGGATGGGGTAGGGATTTGTAAGTGAAATTGAAAATGCAGCAGAGAAAGATCAGGTCTCCACCCTTGCTAGGGAGAACAGTGTAAATCTCAGAAATGCAAATATCTTTGGCAAGTAAAACAGCTTTTTTAAAATATATTTTTAAAGTATACCTTAAGGTAAAACTTTTTATCATTTTGGATAGAGTACAGCAGGGCCATAACCCTTGTCAGCTTTTTTGCCATCTGTGTCAAATTGTGTCAAATTGTGGAGATTTACCTTCACTTCCTGTCCCATAGCCAAAACAGTAAGTGTGAGGAAATCCCCCCAAAGCGAGGGAATTCCTGTGGTGTCACCAGAACTAGTGCCTCCATTGGTAGATATTGCCTCTTTTAGTGTTCTAATGTCAACCCAAACTTTGGGATTTTCTTTCACTTTTACATTTCATGGTGACAATAAAAAGGATGAATAGAGAGGGAGAATCTCCCCAATGAGGGCAGAGACAGCAATAAAAACTGACTGGTGTTATAACCGTTTTGTACTCTATCCAAAAAGAAAAAAAGGAAAAAAAAGGTTTTGCCTTTTAGTTACATTCTAATCTGTGTATTTAGCTCTTTGCTTGATGTTTAGCTATTGTTTTCACTTTAAAGTGAAACTTTCTGTAAGAAAAAAAAAAAATGGAGTCAGGATTTTAATGCAGAAGAGACGTACTATATCTCTCCTGCAGGGTAACATATGCCCTGTACATTGAGCTGTGCATATGAAGCTCAATGTACAAATTTCAGCAATGCCAAGATGAGTGAACTCCTGTGCATGTGCAAGATTGACGTCATCTTGGCTGGGCGAATGAAAAATAGGCGAAGATCAGTACCTAAAAGCCAATGCGGTCAAAGTTGACAGCAGTTGGCTGGGAGCTCTGAGAGACTGCAGTGCTGGATAAAAGGTGAATAAATCAGTGCAAAAAATAAATATAAAGTCCCAAATGTGGCGCATAGACTAAAATAATCCCCCAAAAATTATTACAGCAATGTATACAGTAATAAACATCCCAAATAAATAGAAGAAAACTGAAGCAATTCATATAGTGACCAACTAACATTGCTAGGGTTTAAAAAACAAGCACTTCACAAAAGTGTCTCTGAACCATATTAAATAAGGGTCTTCAAACTGTCTAAACAAAGGGCCAGTTTACTGATCTTCAGTCTTTAGGGGGGCTGGACTATGGCCAACAGGAATACAAAATGTCCCAGCAATCTGTGGGAGTAAACTATCCCCTATCATTGTGTGACAGTGGGAGGAATTGTGCCTCATCATAGGTATCATTGGGAGGTGTTGTGCCCCTTCTTTGGTGTCATTGGGCCCCACTGTTGGTGTCATTGGGGGGAACAATGCCCCATCATATATCTCTTTGGTAGGAATGTGCCCATCATTGGTGTCATTAGGAGGAATTATGCCTTTCATTGATGTCAATGAATTAAATGGTGTCCCAAGGGATAGATAAAAGCAAGCAAAGGGAAACCACTGATCTAAAAAGTAGAAGAATGGAAAACTGTATATGATTTGTACACTGGGTGCAGTTCTTAGTATCTGCTCTTAGCGTGTGTGTGTGTGTGTGGCCACTGCACAGTAGTATAATGATACAAAGGCTGGACGGAGGAACTGCAGAACACAGCAGGTGGCACACCAAACATTACATGAAGGTGTCAGATGTGAAGACTCTATGAACTGGCACCAAAATAGCTAAGAATGAAGTGACTTCTATTACTACAACATTTCATTGTATTTTGTTTTCAGTGACAAGGTCATTTTAACCTCTTGATCACTGGCTTGTATATACCTCTTTATTACAAGGCCATTTTCAGTTGCAGTTTCAGCAGCTATTTATAAACGCCGATCCAGAAATAGGCATCCACCTACCTGCTGATTTTTTTTTTTCCAATACATGATAGTAGAGTGGTAAAGTATGAAAGTTGCTCAGTAGCACTGCTCCTATACCCACAAACTGTGGATACAAACCTCACTACTTGTAGCAGTTTCTATTCCTTATGCAAGCCATAGACGGTTCGTTTATCTGCCGATTTTTGCGTCCGAAAGAATAATCGGCCGATTTTCGCACCGTTAGTGGGGCAATGTCATCGGCCGATTGTCGCGGTTCCTCCTCGGTCATGCTGGAAAATTTGCAATCATTGGTGGCAACAGAACGACCGATGTTTCGTTTTTTCGGCCAAAAAATCGGCCGATAAACGACCTGTCTATGGCCTGCATTAGTAATAGTATGAGTGTACTGCAGCAACGGAAAAACCATTTACGACTCCTGGCAGTGAAGACATTGACTAGAAACTTGTTAGGTCTCCTTCAGGTGGGTGATTATTTGTATAAAAATCAGTGAATTGTTATGGCTGGGATCACAGGTGTATGTGTACTGCTGTGGCTGTTTACCCTGTACAATGAAATGACAAGCTGAGAGAAGCTTTTCAAGTGCAATGCACAACCAGAAGTTATCTGTGGTTAGGGATGCCCACATGGAAGAAAATATTGTAAAAATATTTTTTCATATATTTTGTAATAAAAACGCATTTCAACATACAGTATATATATAAATATATATTGAAATACCGTATTTTTCACTCCATAAGACGCACCTGACCATGAGACGCACCTATATTTTAGAGGTGGAAAACAAAAAAAAAAAATATTCTGAGATGACCAGAGACTGCAGACATAGTACAGGAGATGACCAGAGGCTGTGAACACGGTACAGGAGATGACCAGAGACTGCAGACATAGTACATCAGATGACCAGAGACTGCAGACATAGTACAGGAGATGACCAGAGACTGCGGATATGGTACAGGAGCTGACCAGAGGCTGCAGACATAGTACAGGAGATGACCAGAGACTGCGGACACGGTACAGGAGCTGACCAGAGGCTGGGGACATGGTACAGGAGTTGACCAGAGGCTGTGAACATGGTACAGGAGATGACCAGAGACTGCGGACACGGTACAGGAGATGACCAGAGACTGTGAACACGGTACAGGAGATGACCAGAGACTGCGGACACGGTACAGGCGATGAACAGAGACTGCGAACACGGTACAGGAGATGACCAGAGACTGCGGACACGGTACAGGAGTTGATCAGAGACTGCGCACACGGTACAGGAGATGACCAGAGACTGCGGACACGGTACATGCGATGACCAGAGACTGCGGACACGGTACAGGGGATGACCAGAGACTGCGGACACGGTGCAGAGGATGACCAGAGACTGCGGACACGGTGCAGAGGATGACCAGAGACTGCGGACACGGTACAGGAGATGACCAGAGACTGCGGCCACGGTACAGGAGATGACCAGAGACTGCGGCCACGGTACAGGAGATGACCAGAGACTGCGGCCACGGTACAGGAGATGACCAGAGACTGCGGCCACGGTACAGGAGATGACCAGAGACTGCGGCCACGGTACAGGAGATGACCAGAGACTGCGAACACGGTACAAGAGATGACCAAAGACTGCGGACATAGTACGTCAGATGACCAGTCAGATGACCAGAGACTGCAGACATAGTACAGGAGATGACCAGAGACTGCGGACATGGTACAGGAGCTGACCAGAGGCTGGGGACACGGTACAGGAGTTGACCAGAGGCTGTGAACACGGTACAGGAGATGACCAGAGACTGCGGGCACGGTACAGGAGATGACCAGAGACTGCGGACACGGTACAGGGATGACCAGAGACTGCGGACACGGTGCAGAGGATGACCAGAGACTGCGGACACGGTGCAGAGGATGACCAGAGACTGCGGACACGGTACAGGGGATGACTAGAGACTGCGGACACGGTACAGGGGATGACCAGAGACTGTGGACACGGGACAGGGGATGACCAGAGACTGCAGACACGGTACAGGAGACCACAGACTGCAGACGTTTGGGGAGCGGAGGGGGGAGGGAGCTTGTACCCGAATTTGACAGGTACCCTCTCCCACTTCCGCAGAGTTGTCCTTCCCCCTCCTTCCCCCTAATCTTCTGGGACACGTGACACGATTACTTTTTAGTAATAAATCCTATTTTCTGAAAAGTGCTGAACTGTTTCTTAAGCTCTTTAATGCAAACTAAGAATCCCTGTCTCTGTAGAGCACTACTGTGTGTTTTAAACTTCTGCATACATCTGCCTGCGGTGACAGTGTGTATACAGACGCTTATTCAAACATCATAGTGTTACTGCTAAGATTGGCGAGTTTCCTCCTTCTCTGTACAAAAAGGTGGTGGTGGCAGTGTGAAGGGTTAATTGCGTAATTAACCTGACCCAGAAACAATCTCTCTCAGGATGCGGCACATACAGTTGTGACCAAAATTATTCAACCCCCAATGCTGTAAAGGGGTTTAGGGACTATAGTGTACATTTGGAATTGTATTCAGAATCAAATCCTACAAGGACGTTGTAACTACCCAAATGCAACTAAAATGACATCAATTGTTTATGTAATACAGTAGTAAATGGTTCTTATGTGGTTTCTTCATTGCCACAATTATTCAACCCCTTAAAGACTACCACTCTGAAGAACAGAGGTTCATACAGGTGCTTTCCATCAGGTATTGAAAACACCTGTGGATGTCACCGAGCAGCAATCAAGCATAATAAGCACCAATTAGGCAGCTTTAAAATGACTGTGATACTCAGCTCCTTTCTAGACATTTACTGGTGTGGTTACAAACATGGTGAAGGCAAGAGAATGGTCCAGGAAGACAAGAGAAGAGGTGATTTCTCTTCACAGGAAGGGCAATGGCTATAAGAAGATTGCAAAGATGTTAAACATACCAAGAGACACCTTAGGAAGCATCATTCGCAAATTCAAGGCAAAGGGCACTGTTGAAACGCTACCTGGTCGTGGCAGAAAGAAGATGCTGACTTCGACTGCTGTGCGCTACCTGAAGCGTAGAGTGGAGAGAAGTCCCCGTGTGACTGCTGAGGAACTGAGAAAAGATTTGTCAGATGTGGGTACAGAAGTTTCAGCCCAGACAATAAGACGCACACTGCGTAATGAAGGCCTCCGTGCCAGAACTCCCAGGCGTACCCCCTTGCTGTCTCCAAAGAATAAGAAGAGTCGACTGCAGTATGCCAAAAGCCATGTGGACAAACCACAAAAGTTGTGGGATAGTGTTCTGTGGACTGATGAAACAAAATTAGAACTGTTTGGGGCCCATGGATCAACGCTATGTTTGGAGGAGGAAGAACAAGGCCTATGATGAAAAGAACACCTTGCCTACTGTGAAGCATGGTGGAGGGTCAATCATGCTTTGGGGCTGTTTTGCTTCTGCAGGTACAGGGAAGCTTCAGCGTGTGCAAGGTACCATGAATTCTCTTCAGTACCAGGAGATATTGGATGGAAACGTGATGCAGTCCGTCACACACCTGAGGCTTGGGAGACGTTGGACCTTTCAACAGGACAATGATCCCAAGCATACCTCCAAGTCCACTAGAGCATGGTTGCAGAGGAAAGGCTGGAACATTTTGGAGTGGCCATCGCAGTCACCAGACTTAAATCCGATTGAGAACCTCTGGTGGGACTTAAAGAAAGCAGTTGCAGTGCGCAAGCCTAAGAATGTGACTGAACTGGAGGCCTTTGCCCATGAAGAATGGGCGAAGATACCCGTAGATCGCTGCAAGACACTTGTATCAAGCTATGCTTCACGTTTAAAAGCTGTTATAACTGTAAAAGGATGCTGTACTAAGTACTAAGATTGAATGTCACTTGGGGGTTGAATAAAACTGATAATGCTGTGAGCACAGAAAAGACATTTGTGGTTATTTCATTATAACTGTTATGTTATATTTGTCTGACCTACAAGTGCCTCTTTAATGTAAATGTAAGCAAGATGACTGAATGATCAAAAGCAATGTCAAACTGGCCAAAACACTCAATTTCAGTGGGGGTTGAATAATTTTGGTCACAACTGTAGATGGTGGTCCAGTGAGCTGGAAAATCTTTATGCAGGGTGCAGCTGAGTGTGGCATTGTTACGCAAATGACATCTCAGTTTTAGATTGGCTAGTCCTTTGGTCACAAGTTGGTGAGAAGGGCTGCCACGCCGGTCACAACACTAACAAATTTTACTGTTAACCCCTTTCCGCCAACTCCCTTTAAGAGAAGTTTTATGCAGGAGTTTCCTTGGCTTTTCGATCATATAATTACTGCGATTAGCTGGTGATCAGAAGGCCATCTTACTGGCCCCCTTGCTAAGTGACCAGGAGCTGTCAGTGACAGCTGGATCACAGTGCTGGGGGTGCACGATTGAGCACAAAAGCAGTCTGCATATATGCAACAGCATGGAATAAGGCCCACCTCATTGCTTGCCTGCAGGACGGGGTAAAGACCATTACCTTTACATTTCATATAGTTATGTTATTTCATTATTTTTTATTACAGTAAAAGTATAAGCAAAGCTTTTTTGGCTATGCTTCTATGGATCACAGGAGTGCAGTTCGTTATGCATTCCTGTGAACCGTTTTCAACCAACAGTGGCCTAAAGTCTGCTGTTAGCTAACGTCACAGAGCCTGCCCAGACTCTGAAAAGATCCCGACCATATGGTTGGGATCCACCGAGAAGCCTGGACTGGCGCCATGTTCAGCCTCTCTGTGATCCACCAAGAACTTGAGGCAGTCCCTTCTGCCCCCTCCAAAGCATGGCGCTTCAGTGAGCGCTGGAGGGACGGAGCAGAGAGCCGGAGACTGACAGTCACGGCTTTCTGCTCAGAGCCGAGGGGAGAACTGAGTGATCAGTGGTGTTTGATCACTAAGTTCTCATTGCAGGGCTGGCAGGGGGCAGATGCAGCATTGTATCAATGCTGCATCCACCTAGGTGAGCATAAATGTTTATTTTTTACAAGTCCATACTTCCCTTTTAAAGTAAATGTTAATCCTAACTATATCACGTTTAGTCTCACGTTTAGTCTTCTAAAGCAGGGTTTCCCAACCTTTTTTCAGTCAAGGCACCCTTTAAAATTCTGCACAACCTGGAGGCACCCCATTCTAAAATGTAAAAAACTAAACTAATAGTTTTACATAGCGTAGCAACATGTAGGACATGTAGCAACAACGTGTAGGACACCCGACATTAAAGGTGATTTATTCTTCCAAAGCAAAAACACCTTTGCACACTGCTACTGACTGGTGTTCCAGTGTTTCTCTTCTTCCTCAATTTCTCTCCTCACTCATCTAATGTGACCCCAATGCTGATGGACAGGGGCAAGCGAGGGGCAAACAAGGGTGCAGTGTAAGCGCCCAAGTCCACCATATCTACTGATGATGTCATTGGTTGTTAGGATATTTGCGGCTAGAAGGTTGCAATGGTGAACAGTAGAAACCTGTGGCTTTGTGTAACTAAAAGAAAGCCTTAATCCACCTGCTGGCATGGATATCATTTTTGACCAATTTTTAAGCATTTTGCCAAGGCACACCTGAAGAAACCCAAAGGTCCCCTGGTTGAAAAATGCTGTTCTAAATTTTAAATTTAAATTACTTGTTCATCCCTTGTTGCATCTCCACTGCTGATGTCCTGCAGCCTCTATGCAATCCCCTTCTCTCTACTTCATGTACTTGAACGGTGCGGCATGGCTTTTCTCAGCGGGTTTCCTCATAATGACAACAATGGACCATGCCTACGTAATGTTTTCTAAAACAGCCGCTTGTAGTCCCCATCTGAAACCTTTGTGAAAAGGTGACAATGTGGGTGCACAATTGGCAGACAAGGACAGATCGTCACCCAGTAACAGGACGCGCCTGAACAAAGGCACGGCAGGATCATCAGGTTGTATTTTAATAAAAGCCACAGATGTTAAAAATATTGAAAATGACTTGAAATTACATTAACATAGGTGTGCATCAGAACCTGCCAGGGATGTTGTGGTTGCAAAGTCTATGCAGTGCTAGACAGGGCCACACAATTGAGGACAGTGGGGGAAATGTAAGTATTTAGCCACGTGGGCTTCATTTTGGGGTTACTTAAACGACAGCTTCACCAAAAGTGAAGTTGCCCTTTATCGATGTTGCTTTTGTTACCTTAGATGGGTGCAGGAAGGTTTTATCTCTGTGTCCTTCTTTATTATTTACATTTTTTGGATAAAGATGGCAGTACATTTTTTAGACATCATCTTAGTGTGCATGTGTAACATGTCAGTCAGGCCTGAACTTGATTTAACCTCCTTTCTGGTAACCAAGAAATCGAGGGCTCAAGGGAGAAGGGCTTGTGTCTGTGGTCACGCTATGGTTTTCTCTAAGCATGATTCGTACTTTGCACTTCAGAACATACTTTCATTCATGTAAAAGTAGGACCTATATTTACTTTATTTTTGTTTTAAAGAATTTTAGACTTTTTCATATGACTGTCATGAGTATTGCTTGCCTGAGTTTTATCAACAAAGTATAAACTTGATGATCTTGATGACCATTATCTATTTGAAGATATGTATGATAAACCATTCACTGTGTCATTTCTGATGTGAGTGGGTGAAATAAATCACATGGAAACAAATTATTGTAGATTTTTACTAAACTTAGCCCAGTTAAAGTGTTACTAAACCCAGTACCCTGCATTCACTATATCTGGTCTCGCACAGTACACAGAACATGGAAGTGCAATTATTTTAGTAAATATAAACTGCTAAATACTAGGGATGCACCAAAATTTTGGTGGCAGAAACGTCTGGCCAAAAAAACCCCTATCAGCTTTTGGTCGATATGAAAATAAGCACCGATACAGGTGCGAAAATAACCCCGCCCCACCGCCGCCTGGTGCTTTTCAGCCTTACCTGAGAACCCGTTAACGATCCCAGCTCTGGACATAGAGACCAGTGAAAGAAAGATAGCCTCCACTCATCTCTATGCCCTTGGATGACCAGAGCGAAGTCTCTACGTCACTTCTGGTTG